GGTTGTGTGGACGCTTGAGCAAGTGGAGCGGTGAAGGACAGCGTGTGGAATCTAGGTGTTCGCGGAAGCAGGCGTCGTGCTTCCTCTAGAGTAATATGTCAAGACCATGTATCACAATCGATCATGAGAGTCAAGATGGAAAATCAAGATTTTTGATTCTATGTGTTATAGCCCGTAAACTGATGCTCAACCCTGATCGAGGGAGCTCCCTGCGCCTACGTTTGTCTCGAAAGATATTTCAAGACGGAAAGTTTTGGTCGGTGGGAACCCTCGATGTCCTCCATAAAGAAAGTCTAAGCAGAAAATAGTACCGAAAACGGCTGAACATGTATAGAGCCCAAAGCAAGAAATGAAGAATCTATCCGTGCTAAGACGAATGTAAAGCAATCATAACCTCGTTAAGTGATGCTCCAGACGCCTTGCAGAAAACACAAACAAGGAAAGAAAACGGACATTAAACCACTGAGTAAAGAACAGGCTGCTAAACTATCCTGCCAGCATCATTTTGAGTGTCAGAAGAAGTACGCATTGACCCTGCGTTGCTGGGTACCCGGGTAGGGGCCTGTGATAGAGGGTCAGGTGAATTGGGGTCACTGGCCCTGCGCTTCTCGGTTGTCTCAGCTTTGCTCAGTCTGCGCGCAATTGCCTCCTTCGCATGTTCGCCGTTGTCGCATGGTAGATACCATCGGGATATGGCCATGCAGATACATGAGAGCATCAGGTTGGCACCGGACCACATCTGGACGGTGACGTAGGTGTTGTACTGTGTGATGAGATGGCCAGCAATGACGGGACCGGCAAGAGCTGGGATGGCAGCAAAAGTGTACATCATACCAGTCCAGTGACCAAGCTTCTTCTTTGCGAAGTGAGTAGTGCCAGGCGCAGTGTAGGAGCAGTTGAGAATGTTGCCGATGGACGCAGGGGGAAGGCCAATGACCATGCCAGAGAAAACACCGAAGACGACGCAGAAGGCAATAGCGTCGGTCTCTGATCCAGCCAGTGTCCAGAGAACCAGTGTGAGCATGGATGCGGTGAACTGAGAGCCGATGTGCATGTTGAGGGCGCCGATCTTGTCCGAGAAGTGAGCGAGGAGCATCCGTCCGACTGTCGAAGCTCCGTTCATGATGACTAGGAGCCAGAAAGTTTGAAGTGGTTTGTCGGTCGTATCGCTCGGGCTTACTGATGAGCCAGTACTGTCGCGGGTGCCAAAGCCACGCACTGATGCCCACTGGACATTGTTAGCTACAAGCATGAGAAACAGTGTAGGAATACTGACCTCTTCAAGGTTGAAGAAGACTGGGTAGAAGCCAAAGAACATAAAGGCAACGGCCGCAGTGAACCAGCACCAAGCCTTGTTCTTGAAGGCCTCCGTGTCGAACCAAGTCCTGAGCTTGCCCCAGCTCTTCGGCTCATGGTGCTCGTGGGCTGGGTCTGGGGTGCAGAAGATGAAAGAGTAGATGCAGGTCACTGAGGTGAGAGTGGCGACATAGCGTACTGCATTGTTGAAACCGACGGATTGAATCAGGTAGCGGAGCATGCTGGGGTAGATCACGCCTGCTACGCTGGCACCGCAGGCAACATAGCCTACCGCAAGACCTCTGCGCTTGGGAAACCATGTTGAAGCAACTGGGATAGGGTCAGCACAGGAAGCTCGCGCTATCATTCACGACTCACCTTGAGAGCTGGAGACGAAGAAGGTTCCCATGCCCAAGCCCACTACGAGGCCTTGGGTTGCCCAGATTGGACCGAAGCTTCCAATGGCCTCAACATCGCTGGGGTGTGCGACAGAGAGCATGAAAAGCCCAAAGGGTACAAGGAAAGTGCCACAGCCGATGACTTTGCGCGAGTGCCCCGCATCCAAGAGGCGTCCAACGGCGTTGGAAAGAAGGAGCACAATGAAGGATTGAGTCGATCCGATCAGGTTCAGTTCGAGCTGATCAACACCTCGCAGTGAGTGGCCGACATAGTACGAAGACCACGTGCCGTAAGCGTTGACAAGACCCCACGAGTTGAACATGAGAAAGAAGCAGCCCAGCAGACAGGCGTAGGCACGCCATGACTGCGGCCAGTTGGGTTCGTCAAGTGTGTCGACACTGGCATGTCGGGATTCGTCTCGCATCGAATTGGTCGCAGTTGGTGCTTCAGAGAGTGGCAGCGTTCCTTCGCTGTACTGCCGACTCTCTTTGTATGAGGATTTGGTAGGTGGCATGTTGGCGGTGTTTACTGAAGTTGCGGGCCGTGAAGTGAAGGTGGCAGGAGCAATCAGTTATATGAGAAGATGTTTGACGTATGACGCGATAAGATGCTCAACACTGATAGCACGTGTTGGAGGGGAAGCGCTCAAATGGACGCACTGGTGGAAAGGTACGGAAACGATCAACTGTCAAAGCGGCGGAGATGAGGGTATAAGTACGGTACTCATGTGCAAGCAGGCATGGGATATGGGGAACGAGCCCAAGGCTTAGATTGATAGAGGGTTCTTTTACGGCTCCACTTCGTTAAGCACGCGCGTAACCCCCATGTAGAATGTGGCTGGCTCCTCCCATAGTGACGTGGTAGTCAAACGGGTCGTGTAATGGGGCAATGGCAGTAGCAAGGCACAAGCAACGCAAGGGTGCAAGCCCAAGAGAAGCCAAGGCAATACGGGCGTCTGAACTCCGCCGGCAGCAGGGTATACTTCATTACTCTGTTAGATGGTTCAAATGCCCGGCGGCCCAAAGATTTAGTGCGCCGCGTTAATCCGGTGTGAGAGCGATCGGCAGTCGTGGATTCTCCGGAGCATCTCACGTTTGGACCTGCCCACGCTTACTCGTTGTCGTGAAAACATGCCAACCATGCCGGCTCCAAGGGAGGTATCCTTTGTCTCTAGTGACCTCATTTGTTACAAAGCTGGGCGTTGCCACCCCTTCTTACTCAACGTGCGTAACAACAAACGGGATTGGGACGCACTGGGCAAGACTACCACGGTACGTAGACGCCTCATGTCCTGTCCCACAACCGCGTGTGCGGATGTCGAGATTGCCCATAGGCTGTGCGTTCTTGGCCTGTTCCACCAAAACGAAGTTGCCGGTGTGCATAGACATCTGGTAGGCGACTATAGGGGTTGAGGCGCCTGACAAGGTTGGCTGAAATAGCGGAGCGGGCCCTTGACCCTTGGCGTAGTATCAGCGGGCGAGATGTGATGAGTGATGAGGCTCGATTGGGTCGGCATGCCAAGAATGTGCTCGAGTAGTGATGTACACATTCCGCCTTGGCCGGCCCAGTTATATTGCAAGGGTCAAGAATGAGTACTCTCGCGGTGACACCGCTCAGAATACTACGACTCTGGGCAGTCTCTCAAGTAAAGCGGATGCAACGGCCGACAGTCTGAGTGAAAGCGTGCAAGTCGGTCCAGAATATCGACGTTGTAAGCTCGGCGATACCGCGGACGAGGGTTGAGTGTTACGCGCAATATCTCGAATACATGACAGGCACGTCACGCTAAAGTTGGCAGTGTAACAAGATGAGCGGGCCGGTGCGGTTCGTTGCTTCGTTATCTTGAATTTCAACACAGCCACAACCGCTTCGAAAGGATGCCCAGGGATCGACGGCTAGGGCGTTTTGCCAAGTATCAACACCCACGCTGACCTCGATGCTTGCTTCTTCCCGCCGCCGCGATGAAGCCGTATCATATCCAGAGGGTTATCAGATAGTGCGGGTGTGGCTGCAGCAGACTCGTCACCCTGCCTTGCGATGACTCGTTTCAGCCACGCGCAACTGTCGGCGCAAATGGCCGCTGGGTTGCATTTTCTGTGGACAGTCGACGCGCGGAGAGTGGATTCGAACGTTCCGAAAGAGCATAGACGGAGTTGGGGTAGGGAAGTGGAGGAGGAGTCAGGACTGGAGATCAGCGACGCTACCTCCAGAGAGTTTGCTCTGCCAAGCCAAGTGTCGGCCGTGGCAATTACGCGTTCTGGCAACCCTCGCCCAGCATCGACCCGATCCAGCGTCGAGACGAGCCCCAGGCACTATTTCTAATCAGATCTGGAAACAAATCCAAGCCCGATATCTCCCTAGGTCTGTGCAGATCTCCCCTGTCGGGAGGTGCCCAAGAGCCGAGAAGAAACAAAGAAGCATCCCGCGCAGAGCTGCGCTACATGTTACGCAAACAACAACGACAAAAGACAATGTTATCTTGTCTCAGAATTCTTGGTCGTCTGGTTTGGTAAACGTCTGACTTGCGTCTTGCCACGGGAGCGGTCAATTGGTAGCTTCACTCCGCTGTGACAGCTAGTTTCTTGTAATGATGGCGAGGTCCATGCTGAGTCCCCGCGGACTCCATTAGCTACGTCAGATGTGTTCCACAAAAGGCCCATGGGGAGGCGGAGCCTTCGAAAAACGGGGACTTCTTCAACGTTCTCACGAAGTTCTTCCGGAGCCGGACGTTTAGCAGTGGATATCGTCATGCGTAGTACTCTGCCGTGTCACTACATGGTGCCGCAGTCTGTCCGCACAGCGTCCCCATGTCATGATTAAGCTTTCGAGGGTTGACCTTCTGGGCTGGTTGGATACGGCCTCTGCGTCTCGTCCGATAAGCAGCTTTTACAGCGGATGCGGCGTTAGGCTTCGATCGCAGCTTCACGGGTAGATACTCGGGGGTTCCAACAGGCTCTGACTGTCGGAAGTCATCGCCTGGTGCTGTCAGCGACGGCCGAACATGCTGGGTCGCTACCTAGGTACCGCACCGCACGGTGATGGTTTTGCGGAAGCGTGCCCATCCGGAGTCTCCTTCAACAATCGGCAGTTCAACAAGCTGGGATTAGCTCTCGATAATCTCGTGTTCATACTCTAATCTGACAGAATCCATTATCTGAAATCCATGAGTCCATGTGTTGTTCGTTACCGTCCAGCAGTCAGGCGCCCGGTACTTCCACTGTACATAGTGACGCCAAGCCCTCAACGGAAACGAAAACTCACTCAGAAAATATTCCTGTCCACTCCATTCTTCCGAACCACCCACAATGGAGCCCCCGAAAGTCTGTTTTGGACGCTCAGCGATAGCGCTGTGGAAAAAACAAGCAAATACGAGCGGAACGCCACAGCGAACGAAGGGAGCGAATCCTTGTGGTGGCATGCAGTTTCTGTGTGTCAACGTCAGGCCACTTGGAGAACCAAGTCCGAGACGCGATCCCGCATCCACAAAGTCGCAGATTCGAAGCGAGCACCACCGGGGCGGAGCGGAGAGCGGAACGTGGTAAAATGAAGAAGAGATGATGTTGCGATACCTGCCTCAGATCATTCTTGTCATCTGCTGGGCACAACTGGGCAGGGCCGACTCGCCACGTTGTTAGAGCTCCGACAACTGCTCCGTCTTGGAAACGACAAGACGGCACCCAAGGCCGACAGCCGCCACATTCCATGTCGAACACCAGTTTGAGTCGAGCCGCCACACATAGCGGGCGTCGAGGCGGAGCGGAAAGCCCAGCGCCGCCCGTGGCGTTGAGTTTCGAGTCGCGCGAAAAGGAGTTTCATACGGCACGAATCCACGACTCGCAAATATGCAATACTCGGGCACACATGTCAGCGCAGAAGATGTCTAAACAGTGTGCAGAGGCCTTGGGTTGGGCGCTGTCGTGCTTTTCTTCCAAGACTTGGTACCTAAGGCAGCTCAACGCAGCGGGCAACAAGCAACAAGCGTCACGCACGTTCACAGCTATAGTGTCAGAGCGCAGTCCCCGAGGTACCGAGAGATCCATATGGGCACAACAAACCCAATCTTGGGTTCATCATAGGTACCGTCAGGTAGGTGCGTCCGCGGCGCAATCAAACGTCCTGGGGGTAAGCATGATGCCTCTACGTGGCCAGCAACAGAAAACCGACACCTAGTCAGCAATCGGCACGAAATGGGAAAACAATAAGATACCACCGTAGACTATATCAGAAGTCAGCTAAGGCAGGCAATGTCTACTGCGAGGCCTATCGTAATTTATGCTAGGTAAGGGAGGCTTCTTTGAGCGCAGCCAGATGTCGCAAATCCATTACCATTGTCCTCTTTTCTTCAACAAAAAAAAAATTCTCTTCCCATTTCTTCGTCAAGTCCTCTTCTCTCATCTCACAAGGAGCTTTAGTTGTATTCGCGGTTACTTAGACACACTTATGCCTCCTTCGGGCAAATCCGAGCCAACTCACACTGTCGCCGTTCTCTCCGGGTGAAACCGTCAACAAGGCTAGAAACTACAAGAAGTCGATCTGCTTCTTCGCGATACCCGCACTCCACTTTTATCCGAGAATTCCACGTGGACATGAACAGCACACACCTCGCAATACATTCGGAGTTGCACGTGTGCAAGCACGCAGGGCAGAATGGAAGGTGTTGAGGGGATCCGAAACATCGCCGACGAACGCGCGTATGATTACTTGAGGAAAATAAGACGCTGACAAAACGGCCAGAAAAGCCGCGGTTCGACCAGGAGTGCGCTCTGAAGACAAAGCGAACTTGGGTGGATGTGTAGGTTAGGTGCGTAATTTCATCCTGCCACGCAATCAATTTGACGAATTATCTATTTTCACGTTTGGTAGATACTCGGGATGAATTTCACGATCAAGTTGTAAAGTGATAGATTCGCGAGACCATGTTGCATTCATTTCACCAGCCAGGACGCCGTCGTAACAAGAATGAAATACTTATTGATAGAGTGGAAGACAGCACATCACGCCACCAGTGGAAGTCTTCATATAGAACGGCTATCATTGCTCTAGCTACAAATACAGTTCGCCAGACGCTACCCTCAAAACGCCATGCTCCAGGGATCAAAGATTACTATGCCATGTTTGCAATCGAGAAGAGCAAGAATAAAAAGACAAAGCCCCCAGCGCCATTGGTTCGGCGCGTGGAAAGCAGAGCTGCAGATGGCCCATGACCAAATCGCTCGAGGTAGAGTCATTACCAAGCACACGCCGTGGGTGTCCCAACCGCCGTGACTCAAACGCCCTTGATAGCAACGGTGCGCTCGCTGTTCAACTTATCCGCATTCCGGTCGTGGCTCTCCTTCTTGCAGTCCTCGAGTCCCACGCACTTGTGGTCCTCGAGCATGCGATGACGACTGCAGTGTCGGCCATTGCAGAAGCCGCAGTCGCCGACGATGGGCTGGGCGCGGTCCTTACAGTCCTTGAAGGAGCAGCGGATCTTCTTGGGGGGCATTCCGCCGCGCAGAGGAAGGGCGAGGTGGAGGGTGGAATTGGGCCCGATGGCGTAATCAGCCAGGGTGGTGTCGGGTGACGAGAGGTGCTTGCCGGCGTGGACGATGCGCAGGTCCGAGGGAGCGGAGAGGTTGGTGCGGAGGGCGAGGAGAGAGCGCAGCGTGCTTATGGATGTATTTGAAGGGATTGTGAGAGGAATTGCTGGTGCACAATGTTAGCCCTTGCCGTGACTTCATGATGCGACCGGTTCCGAGCCTCGGAACGGTGGCGGCAACGACTTACTGCTGCTGCCGGACACGGTCTTGACGAAGATCTGCATCGTCTCCTCGGACTCGGAGCTGGACGAGCTGATGCTGCTGATGCTGGACGAGCGGCGCATGGTGACGGTGTAGAGACGGTGGTGGAGGGAGTGGGTTGGGAGAGTCGTGAGAGAGCCCTGTAGTGAGGCTGGGGTGCTCGGCGAGTGGTGATGACGCTGCGGCGCGGCTAGATAACGGCGATAGTCGACAGGGTAGAGAGCAGTGTGTACGAGAGGCGACAAGGTGCGTGGTATGACTAAGAGTGAATGGTTCAGCAGCAGCAGGTGTGGGTGATAGATGGAGATCAAGTAGGTGAAGGTGACGCAGACCGCTTCTTAAAGAAAGGCAGATGGAGCCCCATGCTGTCACTGGTGCCTCCAGGGCTTGGTCCGACCGATGGCACTGCTAAACTGCACACGACTCGAGCCGATATGCGTTCGCAGCGCGTCTTTGCCTCCCCGATGCAGGGCGGCTGCGACTAGCCGAACTTCTTCCATGGTATTCCATATCCATCACCATCGCCAACCTCTCACCCTTCAACCACCCGCTGCTTTTGTCGCCAACCTTGCCTTTGCCAGAACAACGTCGTCTCACGTGTCCGATACGGTCGTGCATATACTCGCACCCCATCCCTCGCGCGAGTTGCCTTTTGCATGTGACACGTATCGCGCGTCCACTCCTGTCTGCCACCTGTGAAATGCAATCTAGATCGCGTCTCATGCATACCCTCGCTTGTTGCCGCATTCAGACGTCTAACACGTGGACGACAGCGCCTGGCATTCTGCTGTGCCGGATGAGGCGTTGAGCCCGGCCTGCGCCAGTGTTTACGATTGGCCGTCGTCGTGGCGCGTGCATGACGGCTATGCGCTGTGTGAGGCTGCACGACTATCGTCATAAAACAACGACACTCATCCTTGGTGTTGACTATCGCCGCCTCGTGTCGATTGGACATGCTTCGTTACGACATATGCACAAGGCCTAATGCTCCGACTCGCTACGGCTCTGCCGTTGATCATCTGGAGTCATGCAATCATCCGCCCATCATCCATCGTCTGTGCGACGACCGCTTGGATCGGTGCGCGGTAGAACCTTGGTACTGGGGACACGTCCATCGATTTGTACGCCTGCATGGTCAAACACTGTCCGAACATGGGCTTTCCCCGCGCATACGTTATTTCCGTCATGTCACAGCATCGCCGTTGCTTCTAGAAGCGTTTCACAATCTTCTGCACCGCTTTAGAGTTTGTACTTGTGCATCTTTGGTTGTTCGGCCTAACAGGTGCCGCTATGCACCAAATATCAATACGCTACTAGTATACACCGCTTCCAGCACCAGCCTACAACATGCTCTTGGGGAAGTCCTTCATCGCCTGCCGTACACCCAAGTCGCTAAGAATCTCCTCGGTGCCTCCGAGAATAGCATCAAACTTATATGTGCGGTGGAACTGCTCAATCACCCGGCCCATACCGCCTTGTGTAATTCCGCGACCTCCGAAGATGTTGACGGCTTCATCTGCGATCTCGTGTGCAGAGCGGGTAGCAAATGACTTGAGCAGACCGATAGGTCCACCAAGCAGCTTCGATTGCTGAGCGTACGACATGTGTGTCATTTGGTAGGCAATGGACTCTAGCCATGCTTGATTGGCCTCGACGTGTGAGATCATCTTTGCAAGCCTGGAGTATTGTCAGCAGCGTTCGATCGAATTTAGCTCCTGCGGTGCAAGCAAGGTAATGTAGCGAGGTCTCATCCGACGGATGCACCGGTGGGACAAGAAGGCTATCTTTGGAGGCAATACTCACTTCTGACGGATAGTGGGTTGCTCTATCAGTTTTTTGCCAAAGACAATCCGCTGGTTGCACCACTTGAGACATTCCTCGACAACAGTTCGCGATTGTCGGATGACGGCACATGCCATCATAAATCGTTCCTTAATGTTTGTCAGTTCAAACGCCTTCGTCATCTACCCAGAGTGACATACGTGGTTGAAGTTGCTCATTATAACAACGAAGCCCTGGTGCTCTTTACCCAGTAGGTGGTCTACTGGTACCTTCACATCATTGAACTCTACGTAGGCGGTGCCGGCGGTGGTGGAGTAGCTCGTCTTGATCAGCTTCGTCTCGACGGCCTCGTCACGCTCGATGAGCAGCACAGAGAAGCCCTTGTCCGTCTTGCAGCCTGTGACGAAGTAGTCGCTGAACATTCCGTTGGTGATCCACTTCTTTGTGCCTCGTACGATATAATGCTTGCCGTCTGGCGTCAAGGTTGCAGTGGTCCTGATTCCGGCGACATCTGACCCCGCAAAAGCCTCGGTGATGGCTAAGCACATCTTCTTCTTGCCACTCAGCACTTCGTTGACCACGCGCGTCTTCAGCTCAGATTCAGGCATCCACTGCAAGACGGCTGTCAAGCTGATGGTCATGCCTGCCATGTTGCCGTCTTGGAATCCACGCGCGTTTGCGCGTACACCTTCCTGCGCCTGGATGAGGTCATGGAGATAGTCAAACTCCTCGCCCTTGACGACACCCATCAGGTTCTTGCCGTGGAGATGCTTTCCAGGTCCAAGACGCATGGCTAGCATGTCGTTCGCGGCCATCTTGTCGATCAACTCTTGGCTGATGTATGTACCATCCTTCTCCTTTTGTTGCGCCTCGGGCGTGACGTGTGTGTCGACAAACTTGCGGACCTCCTTCTGCAGTGCGCGGTGGCTCTCCTTGAAGTAGGGACTCTTGAACTGCGGTCGCAACCACAATGGCTCCGCGTATGGTACTGGGCTCAGGTCGCCAGGCTTTCCGACAATCACCTCGGACTTCTCGCCCTCGATGGTGCCGATGCATAGCTCCTGGTACCTGTCAAGAACCTCCTGTCGGTGTAGGTTGTAAAACGCGGTCGTTGCATCTTGGCCGGCTACTTGCTCGAGCACAACGGAGCCGCCAGGGTGGGCATCGACGAAATCGCTGAGGTCGTAGACTTTGTGGTCAATGATGCACCAGAGGTCTTCGGGCGTGTTGTGCGAAGCGACCGAATCGCGTGTGAGGGAGGCGTGAGGCATGTCGACGGTGTGTGGGAAGGAGGCGACCGGGTGGACGAGGAAGGTACGACCTGATGCGTGGCAAGAGGACGTTTAAGGAGCTCGAGGATGAAAGGAGATCGAGCAGCAGACGCGACTACATTATGGGTCTCTAGACGTTTGGCCTCGGTCTACGAGATGAGCTAGCCCCCTCCGCGCAGCGCTCCGTCTTTGTGTGGAGCAAGAGCACCTGCCTGCAGACAACGTCTGGGGAAGATGCCGAGGCAGAGCGTAATCGCCTCTCCAACACCGCCTATTGGTTGTAGAATTCTCGCGGCAGACCAGCGGCAACCACACTTCTTCTGTCTTCTCTAACTGCGCCATTGTTTCTTAGCTTTCGTTCATGCGGCACGCCACCGACTGTGCTTTCAACTTGATCTAGTCGCCTCTGGAACCTGTTAGTTAATTGATCAATTCCACTAGATCGGCTATTATGCCATCTTTCGAAAAGCGATCCATCAGTGTCTGTACATACTTCCATCTCGGCCTTGTTTTGCGATCTGGGTACTGGCAGAAACTGGCATCACCTTTCCCTCATCGCAGCGAAACACTGTCTACACGACGAATTCAAAGTTCATTTTTGCGCACTATGGCAGCTTCAATCGGATCTTCTAACCAATATGTTCAGTATGACTAGGCGTATGAGAAGATGATCATAGACATCAGAGATTGCGACTCATTGGACTGCTTCCATGGCAGCCTCGAGTAGTCAACCATTCTGTAACTCCATCAAACGGCTACATTACCCCTAGCCCCGCGTCATACAGACAAGAACCTATCTCCGAACGGACGAAGTAGTGTTGAGGCGCAGCCACGTCGCTCAGAAGCATGATGACATGCCACCAGATCCCTGGTTGCAGAAGAAGTGAAATGTAATATTGAAAAAAAAAACTATACTGACAGCAAGGTCAACACACCATCCTGATCGCTGCTGTTCTGGTATAATTCGCAGAGATGCCAACAACGAGGTCACCTGCAATAGGATATGCGAAGCACACATATTCAATGATTTCGCTTCGGAAGCATTCAAGACGAATAACCTGGTCTCTTGCACTGGATTGTATCATTAACTCCAACGTTCTTAGAGTGTCTCATAGGACCGAACCAATTGCACAAGGTAATGATGAATGTTTTGACGGATAACGTCAAAGGTTGCTGTCGAAATCCAGAGAAAAATTAGTAGTAGATAGGTACCACAAACCCATTTTACCTATTCCTTCGTCGACAAGCTCTCCAAGTCCCGCGCATCTCCATTCTCCTCTCACCATACCGAACCATGTCATTTGCCCAGCAGATCATCGCCCCCAAGAAAATTAGTGTTGGTGAAAGCAAAGTCAACCGCGTCGTGCCCCTCACTCATCACCCTCCTCAACAGGAAAAAACTGTTTGCCCCTCCACCCCTCCTTCAACATCCCACCTCAAAACACCCCGCCATGCCCCTCGTTTGCTTCCATCGTTTGCCATTCTGCCCTCTGCCCCTCCAATAGTGCCGTAATCGACAACGGTTTGCTCAACTTGCCCAATCTGGTAACGTCTCGCTGTCGCTCCCAACGCTGCGCGAGTGAAGGACGCTGTGTTGCCATTTGCACTCCATGCACATATGATATTGTTTCATTCGAGTCGCAGATGTACTGTCTTTTAGACGTCGTTGTCTGGAATTCATGGCATATCGAAATCGCGATGGATGTTGTGTATTTTCGCGCCAACGCACATTAGTATTTGTTTCGCTTCATGCTGTTGCATAGACATCACTGAAATGAGCGAAGCACGCAGCGACCAAGGAAGCTAGTTTCATACTTTGTGAATCGTACATAGAATTGTGCCTAGATGATGGCTCAAATATGTTCAAACAGGAAGCGCACCTATCGACTTGGTCATAAGAAGTATAGTATTTGGGTATCTCGCGTGTTCATACCACCGACAAGCCAAAATGTCTACATGTCTATAGCAGCCCCCGAGCATCATCTAACCGTCTTGTAAGTCACCTATAGTCGTATGCGAACTGACTATCGCCCTCAAATGCCATCTTAGCCCTGAAGTTTCGCCAACGCCTTCCTTAGCTCATCCTCCCTCTTCCCCAGCACAGGCAGACCTCTATCCACACAAGCCCTCTGAAGCTCTTGCTTCCCGAGAGCTTCCCACCCGCCGTCGCGCTGAATCAACTTATCGTCCGTCTTCAAATACTCCAGTTTCTTCCTGACATTGCGTTGCAAGAGAAACTTGGGGGCTGTCACAGGAAGCCAGTCGAACAGTGCAGGGTAGCAATCAAGTTGTGCGGCGGTAAGCGAGAGTTCAAAAAGTGTCATCTCGTTCCAGTTCTTCGTGGTGACTGGCATGACTTGCCCACTCTTTGGCAGGGAGACAGAGGGCGTGTCAGATGATGTGCTCCCGATAGGTGGTCGATCTCTGCTCATCAGTCGCATGGCGTCTAGGGCGATCCTTCTTAGCCGGTCTTGTCGTTTGTCTTCACGTTTTCGTAACGCGCGTTGGACCTGCTGGGGTATCCGGCATGCCTCTGGAATGACGGGTGTGATGTACATGACAACGAGTGGTAACCACTCTCCAAGCAACAAGACCAAGAAGCCGAACGCTGGCAACCTCAATGTATCCAGCCTACTCCTTTGCACAATCTGCCATTCCGCCCTTGACAAAACTTCGGTGATATCTTTGTTGGGTGTTTGCGCAGCCTTTTGGCGCAGCGTCTTTGCAAGTTTGGATGTTTGCCGGACATGCGATATGCCCGTTTTGTAGAAGGTAAGGTATGCGCGACCGGCGCGATATAACCACTTGACGACGTTCTGGTCTGGTGTTCGTGCGGGAACAGATATATCGGGGGCGTATGTAAACGGTGGTGGGTTCAGTTTCTCTTTCGCTCGCAGCGTGGGGACGGTTGTGGCTTTCGAGGTGGGTGTTTGCGCGGGAACAAGAGGAGAGGACTGAGGTTTCCTGGGAGAAGTTGTCTTCGCGGGTGTATTCGTCTTGGTTGTTTTGGTGGGAGAAGGTGGCATGGCCCCACCATATCTTGTGTTTTTCACCGGCGCTGCTGTGGATGAGGCATGCGCCCTTCTTTGTGTCTCCCATCTCTTTGCAAGAATCCTCCTCTGTGCGGTATTCCTCGATCCATCATGCCACGTCTGACTTCCCAATGCCGGCGCAATGGCACGTATGTGTATACCGCGGCGGCATTGTAGATTTGCGACGACACCATTCAATCGCGCCGGTACGACCAACGTAGAAAACATCGGCAGTGGTTTCCTGATCGGGTGGTTAGGGACGTGATTCTGCGATGAAGCACCCGCTGAGCGAGTGTCGGCTCTAGTGGTGACGTTTCTCATTCGTAAGGGAAGAAAAAACTGGGTCGAGCTGATCCCTGTCCGCGCGCCTTCGCCACGACACGATGTCATCACACCTCGTGTTTGCACTAACTCGACTTGGTAGACTAGTGATTATGGTGATTGCATGATGTATATTTCAAAATCGTCGCTATTTTCTCAAGATATACAGCACAGTCTGAATAACTTGAAATGTCCTGTCTATGCCGTAGTGCACGCCATATTGCTTCGTCGATTCCACCACTGGCTGCGCCTGTTCGTACCCATGTCTACAATAACGAAAAAAAAAAACTCAAAGCGCCAACCAACCCCCGATGACCTATGGAAACCCCTTGCACATATGCATAGCATCAGTATTGTGCGCCAAGTAACACCTCGCAGAACGCTACATCAGATTGGATAAGGAAAAATAACCACCATACGTTAGGACCAAGGAAACTCGTAGAAGATACAGGAGCCGGGCATTGGCAGGCCAGAGAAACGAAAACGAAAAGGAGCAAAACATGAGAAGCAGTTGAGAATCGGATCGGGGCCTCATCGAGGGTTTATGGCGCACGTCAAACCAGGGGGTGAGCCGCTAGAAAACGTGTGAGTCGCGTGGGTAATGATCAAGTTGCCAGGGAATTGTCGCAAGGGTACTCCATGGTGTTGCTGCGCGAAATGAGGATGCGAGGGCCTTGGAGCTTCACCAGTTATGGCCAAGCAGATAGCATGGGTCCAGAATGGGTTACTGTTTGTTCGATGAGCTGGCTCGTGGAAGATACATGGCTATTTGCAAGGGCTGGGTAAAGGGCGCAGTCGGGGTTGGTCGGTTGGACATACACCATGTCGATACATGTGCGGAAGGAGCGGTATACAGGATTTGGGCTATTGTAGTAATGTCGAGTTTATCTGTTGGAAAGGTTCGAGACAGCCGTGTTTGGTGTCTAGGCTTCTGGATATACGGAATGGGACTTTTAGCGTTGATATTGGGCCAGTTGGGCCATGATCTCAGACATATCCGGCGCGGGACCGGCTTGAGTAGGTGTCTGCACTGGTGGAGCGACAGCCTGGCTCTGGTTGGCGAAAAGAGAAGCAAGCGCGGGGAATTGGTTGCCCAGCTGTGCGAGATGCGGCTGGGCCTGGGCACTGAAGCCAGGTGTTTGCGCAGGGCTAGGCACTTGAGCCAACAGGCGTGCAAGATCAGCATTCAATCCCTGGTTCGGCGTGGGTTGCGTATTCTGAGGCATATTATTGCCGGACATTGCGCCGAGGAGCTGAGACAAGCTTGCACCGTCGAGAGATGCAATGAGGTTGGAGATGTTCGGCTGACTGGTCGGCAGGGATGGAAAGGGGTTGTTTGGCTGGGCAAAGTGCGGAGGTAGGGTCTGAGCGAAGCCGTACGAGGATGATGGTGGCAGGACCGGGCGAGATTGGCTTTGTTTGGCATTATTGACGAGGAGGCCAGCGGTCGTGGGGTCAAGATCGGCATATTCTGGGCACATGAGTCAGTAATCGCACATGTATATCATAAGCAATCGTACCGTTGAACTGGACGTTGTTTGCACCGCCACGTCGGTCGAATATCTGGACGCTAACTTTGCCCTTGGTAAGGCCGGTAGTATCAAGCCTCACAATGGCCAAAACTCCCTCAAGGATCTGTCTTCGGACTACAGCTGGTTCAGGGAACCGGCCACTCAATATCAGAACGTTACTACGGAGATTTTGCGAGCGGAAAGTATCTTCGACGTAGCGGATGAAGTCACTACCACTGGATTAGCGACCTTGATATAAAGCAATAGTTGTTCGTTCCGAACTTACCGAGGGAGACCTTCGTTGAGCACAAGAATCTGGATGTCAGGCACCTCGTGGGGTAGTCGGCGCCGTAGGTCCAATCCATCCTCTGTATAGTCGCGACGCGGGGATGGACTTCTGTGCCTGCGCGGTGGTGTTCTGGACCGGCTGCGGTATCGCGTATCAAACCTATCCCGGCTTCTGTCCCGCGAGCGTACGCCCCGAGGCGGGGCTCGCGGCGAAGGCGATCGCATGGGCCGATAATCGTCCCGATCACGAAAACGTCGATCCCTAGGGGACATGGAGTTTGGATGCCCTACATAACGACTTTCCCTAGGTGCCGGTCCTGTACCGCCCCTATTATAATCTGGCGAACGTGAACGTCGACGCGGTGTTGGGTTCGGCGGCTCGATCTTCTTCGTGTTGCGTTGAGGCTTGGAGATCTCAAGGTCTGTCATAGTTAGTCAACTGTCCAGCAGTGAAATGATTGACATGACATACGCATCTTCCTCCCGCGCACTGCCTGCCCTTGCTCGGCATCCAGAGCTCTGCGACATGATTCCGAGTCCAAGAACTGGACAAAGCCATATGCCTGTTTGATTGATATCTGCGCAAGCCTGCCGTGGCGGTAGAAACGGTGGAAGATGTCTCGCTTGGTGACTTTTTCGGTGGGGAGATTTCCTAAGAATCGGTTAGGCGCATCCTTGGTGCAAAAACAATCTCAGCTCACCAATGAACAGACGCGAACCCATGGGAAACTGGTCCCATTGCCCCTCCGTCACAAACTTCCTCTCCTGATCCAAAAACTCCTCGTATCTTCTGTTGACCTCGGGCGGCCACCGCTGATCCTCATCGTCGGGCGTTTCGCTTCGATCACCCGGCTGCTGCTGAGCCTGATTGGACGTGGAATAGTCCTGACTCTGCACATTCATGGGCTGAAGAGATCCATTGCCTCTCTGCTGGGCGATGGGAGCTTGCTGACTCTGTGGGTGATAGGATCTGATGTCATCGCTGGGGTTATAGTTGGGGTGCGTAGCGGGCTGATCTTGGGTAGGTGGTCTCGCAGGGAGATTGATGGCCGAGGGCAACGACGAGGCATGGTGCTGCGTCTGCGGCGACTGGGAGGACATTTGTGCAGAAGCATATTGGGCTGCAGGCGCATTGTTGGCAGCAGGTGTCAGAGAGTCCAAGAGGGCTTGTACGTCAACATTGGAGCCAGTGTGCGCGTCAGTCTGGTAGTGAGCGCCTTGGGCAGACTGGGCGGGCGCTTGCTGAGCAGCATAGGCATGGTCATGGGGGTATGGGTACGCAGAAGAAAAACCTTGAGCAGCCGGCTGCGGCGCGTCACTCGCCGACGCAGCGCGCGACTGGAGCTGTGAGGTGAAATTCTGCATTGAAGAGGTATCATGCGGCTGCGTACCCATGCTGCCGCCAAAAGCAGCCGACTGCGCGAACGCGCCCGGCGCATCATGCCCTGCCCCTTGTACGCCTATACTCTGGAAGCTGGCGGTCGAAGACGGGTCGGCGAAGTACGGCGTCGACGTGTTCGCGTTCGCGTGGGAGCTGTGGGCGGGCGCGGCAGAGTCGTTGCTGTGGGAGACATGACTATAGTTCGCATCCATGTGCTCTACGAGGATGGGAATGTTGGCGGGCGACGGGACGTTTTGCGGGCGCGGGCTCTCGGGCGTCAGCGACTGGTGCCGTATGTGCTCAGCTTGTTGCGGCGGACTCGAGTTGGGTCTCATGTAGACTGCGGAGCCAGAGCGCAGAGCTGGCAGACAAGGCGTGGTGAAGGGAAGTCAACTCAAAGCATCTACGAAAACGCACCGTCGCGACAAGGGCTGGAGAGCTGCAGGTGGAGCACTAGGAGAAGACGACGGATGGCGGGGCTGGCTAGATGCTACCTAGGTATATGTGATGGATGAGGGCAGACGCGACAGCCACAGGCACAGAAGCGAGAGCGGGCCCCGTAAAAGTGGCAAGAGACGGTGGTGCAGTCAGGAAATATCAGGAAGAGAGATGTAGTGCAGCAGATGTTGGGATTCGGCGCCGCATCGACTCCGAGGAGCGCCTGGAATCGAGAACTGGTCTGGCTAGGCTTCGTACACGTGATGCGTTTTAGTCTGCTTCTAGCGTCCGTTTTATGGTTAAAATGGTCATGTTGACCCTAGCTCGAGCTATTGCGGTTGCGACATGATCTCATCTTGACAAAGGCCAACGTGAGCAATTTGCGCGACCGGTGATGCTGCGACGCCTTCTTTCTCATTCGCTCATCTCCTCTCCTGCGCTGTTGCCAGGAGCGCGCCGAATAATTTACTGTCGAGGGCATAGCAGCAGTGCCACTGGCGACGAGGTCCAGGCTGCACGCACCTGGCTCGCGGAGCTCCATGCAGAAAAGATCCCTCTCAAGAGCATTGGCGAATTGAGCTTCAGCAGATCATCAGGTCCGGGCGGCCAAAATGTAAACAAGTATGACACACTACACCACTTTTTTTAACACGGCGCTATACTAAACGGGCAGCAAGAGTCAATTCTAAAGCTACGTTGAAGGTGCCTCTCGACGCGTTGTTGCACCACATCCCTGCAGCCCTACATGGCGAAATTAGACGTTCTCGCTACGTTGCTGCTAGATCCAATGCTATAATAGTCCAGGCCGACGACAGTCGAAAGCAGAGCGACAATGCTCAGAACTGCTACAGGCGCATATACGAGGCCATTGCCCGAGCCGGACAAGATGCTGTGCCCGCCGAGACGTCGACAGCACAGGTGCAGCGTGTCAAACAACTGTATGTCGTCGCACTTTCCGATAGCCCAGGCGACGGCCCGAAAGCTGATAAGACGCCAGACAGAAGTCAGATAACGAGCGCCGCCTCAAGAGCAAGAAGCAGCAGAGCGCTAAGAAGACGTCGCGGCGAAGCCGGGGTGACGAGTGAAGCGGTCTGCGGGGAAGCGGCCTGCCACAGCACCATAGCTCAGCGCAACGTGCAGGTGACGTGGTTCTACCGCTGAATCGTAGTGCATCTCACGATAGTGCGAGCATGACTGTAGCGGTGTAGTGTGGCGTGCCTCCCGATAAGAGATAGGAAGAATACTTGATGCACGAGTGCTCGGTACTATTAGTCTGCTGACCAAGTCCCTTGATCCTTCACGTTTCCGTGGCTGCAGAAAGTTTCTGGAGCGTTTCATTCGCAGCCCAGTACTTGATGCCTGTCTGAAATAGCAACTTTGCATCCTCTTTCTTCCCTTGCTTCCGCAACAATTCGCCCAATCTAGCAACCTGATCGCCAGATCCTTGACCGTCTTCCATCGCTCGTACATACTTGCGCAGTGCTGCACGCGATGCCTTCTGCAAGGACGAATCGCTATCCGCGAGTAACCGATGCAGAGATAACAGCTGTCGAACAGCGACTTCGGAGATGTTGGCAATCTCCTTGGGATGTTGCTGGACGGTAGAGCTTATCAAGTCCAGGGCCTTGCTCAATGCAAGGGCAATCTCTGGATCGCTTGGGTCGCAGCCAGATAGCAGCATGCGGAACCTGCAGATTGCAGTTTCTACGGCATGGGGAGAGTTCTCTTGCAGGTAATCTAGCACGTGCTGCAAGATGCGTGGTATGCAGGCTAGCTGACTAAACTCGGCAAACATGTCGAAGAATTTCTCCGCAAGTTTGGGCTTGCCCTGGAACTGCTTCATGGCGGAGTCAAAGACTGCCAGTGGAATAGCACCAGTGAGCACTGGCGCAGACGCCAGGTTCTGCAGCGCCACCTCGTCCACACCATCGTCCTGCTTCAAGCTGGGATTCACATCCTCTGCCGTTACTTCCGGAAGCGCAATCATGTCTTCGTCGCCGTCCTCGTCTGTGCCTGCCTTCTTTGTACGATCAATGTCCAGACCGAGAATCTTGCGCCGACCAGCGATCTTTCCAACGTAGATGGTCTCCAGCTTTGCGTATTCCAGCCACATAACCTCGGAGTTCTTGCAGAAGCGTAGTCCTCGCTGCATGTAGCTTCGCGCATTCGTGATATCCGCCTGCGTATCCATGAAGTAGTTGGCCGCGAGGATCCATATGTCAGGCTTGGTGGGGTGGAGTCGAGCGACAGATGTGAAGATGTCGTTCAGCCGCTTGTATGCCTTGTCCTTGCGCGCGAAGTCGATGTACTGCATCCATAGCACCAGGTCACCCGAGAACTTGCGCGTCGCCCGGTTGTAGAGAAAGTAGATGGTGCGCTGGCCAGAGCCCTTGTACCGTACACCCAGGCGCTTTATTCGTTTGCGGCGGAGGGCGTCGACGTTCTTCTCGAACTCAATGTACCGCATGTAGTCTTCGGGGTGCGAGCCGCGTGCATTGATAATGTGCTCGAAGTCTGAGCGCTTCTTCGCTATGGAGCTGATTTCTTCCTATGGCATGTTAGCGAACCTGGCGTTGCGCGCAAGGCGGCCTAGCATACCCGTGTAAAGATTTTCTTGCGCTCAAGCTCGTTCAGCTCTGTCGCCGACTGCTCGAGGTAGAAACGCGCCTTGTCACTGGGTCCGGCCATGTTTGCGCGTCCGAGGTGTTGTTGCTGGTAGAGTTGGGATAGAAAAGTTAACTTCTCTAGAAAAAAGTTAGGCTAAAGTTGCTCCCGCGGGTAGCGCCTTGGCCTACGGACCTCGGAAGCGCGAACCCTGACCATTGCAACTTCAGGAGACGCGCGTGTTGGACTGCGCATCATCAATTCTCGACGCTCTTTTGCTGCCTTTTTCAGGTTCAATGGTCCACTGCTGCTGAAAGCCTACTTGAATTTTCTACCATGGTCAAGGACAAGGACGGCGACACTGTCGCTACGGTACGCGCAGTCCGGCCTCACCCCCGAGAGCTCCGCATGCTCACCAGATGTAGTTCAATGGGAAATGGATATCGTATTCGCATACCGCCATGGCCTACTGTACGTTTATATGTCCTCGACAGATATCAACGGACTAACAAATACCAAAGGTGCCTTTGTCGGAGCCCTCGTAGTCGGAATGTACGCATCTCGCTCTTTACTACCCCACGACACGGCTGAACACACACAGATGGCTACACTACCACAAGATTGTGCAAAACGAGTTTTATGTTAGTCCCCGGGGATCACACCAGACCCAGAGCCAACCATTGACGTGCCCAGGGTTACCCAGATGAATGGTTCCCATCCGTGTCCGCGACCATTGGCGACCGCTATCCTGAGCGTTCGGTCTTTATGCTTTTCATCGCTCTGACATCTGGTATGGAACGGGACACGGCGTACAAAGGAATATGCTAAGCTTTACAGGCCCAAGATTCGCCCTCGTCGGCCTTTGGTACATCTTGACCCGCCGACCCAACTCGTCCCTCCCCAAGTTCATCGCTGGCGTTGGCATCTTTCGGACCTTGACCTGTGGAGGATGGACATATGTTACCTCTACCGACGACCACGACTGGCACGACATTTTCATGATCTCATACCTTGTTGCGACGCTGCCGTGGACCCTGGGCTGTGTTGCTCTTAGCCCTAAGAACCCTACTGCCCTCAAGTACCGAAAGGTCCTTGCTGGCAGCTTCTTCGGAACTCTGGTACCGTTGATCTACTTCTTCATCCAACACAAAGTGCACCGAGTGGCTGGAGGTACGTTTGCAAATTCCACTATTTTTTGCCATCGCTAACGTCTTTGCAGCATATACCATCTACGCTTTCTTCGAATGGGCGCTGGTCTTGCTCGATGTAGGCTTCGATGCCGTCACGATGATCGAGTTCCAACACTTGGAGGTTGTCATAAAGGATGTTCGAGGTGTATCTCGCCTGTACGTTCCTCGTCTCCCAATATAGATAGACACGCATCACGAATCTATACTTCTTATGGACACTTTCTGATAAGACATGTCTTGTAGTGCGGGCTCCAAGTCGACATCCGACAGTATTCAGGAGTAAGTCACTACTGTTTCCCGAGGCTCTACGCGTCACTGACAGGAGCAGAAAAAACAAGGAAATGAACGCGACCTTTTCAGGTGCCTTTTCTTGGTTCGGACTCATCTATGCCGCTGCAGACGTGTACAACGGCGTGAGTGGCATTACGTGGTGTCATTGGACGTGACTAATTACTCTATAGTTCGTCTTCTGGTCCATGCTGACTTCACTCGGTGTCTGCGTCTGGTGTATGTTCGAATTCTCCCTTGCGATCGTGACTTCTGCTGATCATATCTAGACTTTCCTCTCTGGCACATGGGTATCTCTGGATACGAGGCCTTGGTCATGTGCACCGTCACTCCCTTCTTACTCGGCATCAAGCCCCTCCGTTACCTGGCTACTCGCTACGTCTGGTTCTTCCATCTGCTCTCGCTCTCCGGACTTCTCGCATTTCTTGCCAAGACACCCGTCAACCGACTCTTTGCCGTGGGCTTCGGTCTGTCAATGTCATGTCTCGCATGGTCTGCTACCTTCTATGCCGAACGGTCTCAACCCCATCGCCTTGAAGCACGCATTTCCGCTTTTGCTATTGGTCTGATCGCCTCTAGCATTGCGAAATTTGCCTTTTGGACGAATAACCCGATCTGGCCAATCATGCACGAGGCAAACGGCGGATGGAACAGGACTGGTTTCGTGGTAGCTCTTATTTCGATGCTCGTATCGACCAGATCTACCGCCAGTTCTGGCGCCGATGTGCCAGCTCAAGGCCCTACAAAGGGGTCTTCTGTTTTTGCCAGCTTTGGTTTGGCGGGTGTCATGTTCGCCATGCACTCGCTTCTCTCCGATTCGAGCACAATGATCTCTTGGGTATGGGAAGGTTACCCTGTTCGGGGTCCGCTGGCTGTTCCCCATGGCACCCTGACTCTACTAGCCATGGGCTTGGGTCTTATGATTGGACTGTTCGCGCCCAACCTCTCTAAGTCATGGGCCTTTTACGGAATAGGCTCTATTGGCGCTGCTGTTTTGACAACCACCAGCCACTGGTCTGGTTTCTATGGAGCCTTGGTTCTCGCCATGTACACCATGGCAGCAGCACCTGTTCTCATCTCTCATGCGGCGCGCCACTCACCAGGCCGCACATTCGGTCTCGGGTTCTTGGTGTACAACTTCATGGTTCTGTTCCACGTCTGGGTAGTAGCGTACGCGTTCGTTCCGGGCGGACCACTTGTTCGCGAGCACACAGACTGGGTTATGACAGCCATGATGCTTCAGATCGGTGCCGGTGTCTTCAGTGTCTCTGCTCAGCCGCCTGCACTCAAGAGCTACAAGGGCAAGGCGGTCATCACGGCAGCTGCCAGTAGGCAACGATCCTACTACCTCTACGTTCTAGGGGCTCTAGAGTTGATCGCCATTGCTACCGCCTACCTACGCTTCCCGTCCTACGACTACAAGCCGTACCACCCCGAGACCAAGTCTATCACAGCTGGCATCTGGACTATCCACTTCTCCCTCGACAACGACATGTGGTCTTCGGAGTACCGCATGCGCGACCTCATCAAGGAAATGGAAGTCGACGTCATCGGACTCCTCGAAAGCGATCTGCAGCGAATCATCATGGGCAATCGCGATACGACGCAGTTCCTCGCCGAAGATCTAGGCATGTACGTCGACTTCGGCCCAGGCCCCAACAAGCACACGTGGGGCTCGGCACTACTCTCCAAATTCCCCATCGTAAACTCAACCCATCATCTCCTCCCCTCACCGGTCGGCGAGCTTGCCCCGGCCATCGAAGCTACCATTGATGCTTACGGTGAGATGATTGACGTCTTCGTCTTCCACTCGGGCCAGGAAGAGGACCCCGAGGATCGCCGCTTACAATCAGAATACCTGGCTGAACGCATGAAAGCCACGCCGCGTCCCGCCATCCTCCTCTCTTACCTCGTCATCAAACCAGGCGAGGGCAACTACAACACGTACGTGGGCGAAAAGAGCGGTATGAAGGACATCGACCCGTCAGACTGGGATAGATGGTGCGAGTACATTCTTTACAAGGGCCTGAAGAGGAGTGGATATGCGCGTGTCTCTAGACACACTATCACGGATACCGAACTCCAGGTAAGTTTTTCCTTTCTGATTGCCTGGCGCTAGGAACGGCGTGCTAACCATGTCATGCAGGTTGGTAAATTCGTGGTTGGCGAGCCGGAGAACGGAAACGAGCTTCTGCATGAGTCGCAGGTTCCTGCTGGGTTGAGGTTCCCGGATCTGTTCAAGGGACAGGGTGTCAGGGGGCATAGGTATCATGTCTTTAACGAGCCTAGATACTATGCTTGATCTGTGAGCATGAACCGGAAAGAGCAGGAGTGGGAGGAAGTCTATTGAGTAGACTAAAAGTGTATGATAGTTTCAAGGAAAAGTCAATATAGTGTTGTTTCATTGCTGATGTTGATTCTTGGATACTACTCGTTTCGCATTCACTACTTGTACAGCGTTTATGCGCTGTTGCCCAGGAACACAGACGGCCCTTTTTAGAGCCATGGTAGGACGCCAATACCCATGCATGCAGTGCGCGAGCCTTGCCCACGCCTGATTCGTAAAGCGCCAAATGCCGAACCCAGACTTTTCGATCATTCCTTCATCCCTTTCATGATCATCATCGTGTCCCCCATCATAGTCTCCCCGCCTCCCCAGAAGCTGTTGGCTTCCCCCCCGCATTATGAAACGAACGAGTTGACCGGCTGTAATGTGTCGCGCTCATTTCGCAACAGCGGCGCTCAGGACCTGTGTCCTGAAGAAGCCTCCCTTTGTCCTCTCGATAACCTGTTGGTAGACGGACTGTGGTGGGTGGTTCATGACGACTGTGCCGGCTTGGTAATCGATCTTTGCGTCTACGCGAGTGTCACGGATGAGGTTGACAATCCACTTCTCGCCCTCGTCTTGTGAGAGACCGAGGCGAGTTGAGAGATCCCTAGTTGTGTGTTAGTACGTGTTTGGGAGGGGGGGGGGGGACGGAAATGTCAAATGACTCACTTGATGTCGATTCTCTGGTGAATCTTGCAGTAGCTCTCCGAGATGAGATGTCTCGCCGAGTCGACAAACAAGTCAGCGGCGCCCAACAAGAAGAAGTCGTTCTTCAAGATCTCCTCCGTCTCGCTGAGCTTCTTCTGCGCCTCTTCAAAGTCAAAGTCGATGTACAGGGCCTTGATGAAGTCGGTGACGGGGTCGTTGTACTCGTAGCCTTCTTGTCGCACGATCCTGATGAGGTCCTTGAGCTGCTTCTGGTACTGGTTCGAGTTCCTGCCACGGTTGCGGCCGGTGATGACGGCAGCGGCGAGGTAGCGCAGGATCCACGGGCAGTTGGTCTGGATGGTGTTGATGTAGGCGGGGGAGAAGAACATGTCGGTGAGGGTTTCGCGCGAGGATTCGTGGTTGAAGAGGGGGAAGAGCGACCAGTGGATCAACCAGGTGCGGTGCTGGAGCTGTGCGAGGGGGTTGTTGAAGAGGCGTGTGTCGATGATCTCCTTGAGCTTGTTAATCTCCTCCATGGCCGAGTCCCAGTTGACGGAGAGGATCTCGCAGGCGAGCTTGCCCCAGGTGGCCTCGCGTTCCTTGTCGCCGTCGGTGGTCTGCTGACGTTAGTACGCAATATGCCACAGGTCTGCATCGAAACGTACCAGAACGCGGAAGCGGTAGAGCAGCTCAGCAGCATGTGGGTAGACACCGCACGAGTACTGGAACTGGCCAAACTCGAGCAGCTGGTTGACCATGTCCATGTCGACGCCGTGGCTCTCCTTCAGGTATGCCAAGTTCTGCTGCTTGTCGCTGCGCAGGTTGGTGACGACGTTCTCGTCGTCGAGCAGGCCGCTGATCTTGCTGGTCGCCTCCTCGAGCTGGTCGCGCTTCTTCAGGACCTCGTCGCGCTTGGTCTTGAACTCGTCCGACATGTCGTCGAGGCCGTGGACCTCCTGGTGCAGCTGGCCAACGAAATCGGTCATGTTGGTGGGCTTGAGCAGTTCGAGCAGCAGCTTCTTCTGCTCGACGGTCTGGTCGGCTTCTTCATCGCTGGAGAAGTTGAGGAGCGGGTAGACGAGATGGCGGTCGAGGTTGGGCATGAGCTTGGGGAGCAGCGAGTACTGTTCGGCGACATTTGCGCCGGTTGCCGCTGAGTCCGCCATGGTGGGTGGTTGTGGCAGGTGTAAGGGCGACGTGGTGGGAGGAGGATATGGCGATGTCGAGCGTGGTGGGGTGGGCTCGGAAACGAAAAAAGCAGCCGGACTGTGCGCGCGAGGGACCCCAGGCGCTACTTCTGGAGTTGAGCCGCGAACCATGGCCGCAGCTTGCACGCCACGACGCTCGCAACACATCCCTCGACCCTCCGACACGTGGTAGATTACTTTCACCGGCACCGCTGCGTCACAATGCCTCGATTGCAGTCCCTAGCTCCGCTGCTGCGCCCATTGGCGGCCCCACGAGCGCTTGCATGCCGACAGCACTTCCGCTTCTCTACAGCGACAAGATGGCAGGCTGAACGTACGCCATATCTTCTTCTGGTACAACAGGTACATCAATTGACGCTCAATAGAACCCCCGCCAGACAGCAAGCCCATCGTCCAGCCATCCCTCCCACCCAACGCTTCTTCTCAACACCCGACATCACCCCAAGAAGCCCAACGGGCCGCCGACCTTGCCGCAGCAGAGTCTCTCACCGAAGGCGACAGCGCGCAACCGCCCGAGCAGAAGCCTGCACTGCCCTCCAAGCACCCCCGATCAGACAACAAGCCAGAAAAGACACCCTCGCAAGCCAAGCCCGCAAAGGCCGATGACGTCGCGCCCAAGTCCTCGACCGCGCCCTCAGACACAGCCGACACAACATCGACGCTCCAGAAGAAAGTCGCCAAGAAGCCAAAGACACCGCGCGCCCCCAAGTTGTCTCTACCACCGCCCAAATACGCCGTCTCGAGATCTGCGAACAAGAACCTGCCCATCTATACCGACTATAAGCGAGGCGGCAACTTGCATCTGACGACAGTACGGAAGATCACCGGCGACATATCTGCCTTGAGGGACGAGCTGAGAGTCTTCCTGAACAAGAAGAACGAGGACGTCAAGATCAATAGCGTGACACAACATGTCATTGTCAAGGGACATCACCCTGCCGAGATTGCTACATTCTTGAAGGCGCGAGGCATGTAAATATTGGCAAGAGAGGGATTGTGTCGCGCAGAGAACGAGTGTATATACCATGCTGTAGTACAGCCTGTATCATATGGAAAAGAAGGTGTACGAGTAACGTTGGCCATGATCATTCAATCAGTACAATGGACTATCCCGTCGCATCAGCGGCGTAGAAGCGGCAAACCAGCTAGTTTGCACAACATCGTGTCTTTGTATCTTCGAGTCAAAGGTGAAGCCTGGTTTCCATTTGACTATGGACAAGATCTAATCTATATCCCCAGAGCACTGGTAAAAGGCTTCTCAAATGTCCTTGCAATCCGTTCCATGTCTCAAGTACCGTGCAGCAAATTCTTTTGGTAGAGGTCAGTTTTGTCTTGTAAAGTGGATGTGAACTCGAATATTACCATGAAATCGCGCTGCGCCATCAGTGAACCTGGACAGGCGATCAAGGAGGAGGGCAGCATGTCCAGCACTGACCAAAGTAGCACTCCCAGCGGCAAGGCTTGAACTTTGTTGCTACGTTGGCTGATGATACATCGCTGGAGTCGCTGGAGGCGTCGCCCATATCAGGCATGCAGACCGCCCAGCACTGACCGAAGTAGCACTCCCAGTGGCACTTGATCCTAGTCCTTGAAACAGGGTCGTTCATCACAGTCTCCTTCTCCGCTTCTTGATCACAAACCAGTCCGCAGAGCGACTTGTCAGTGTTGCAAATCTCGCGGCAGATCTTGTATGGAATATCTGGAATGCTCTCGATGGCAGTCTCGGTCCCAGCTACTGGCTCGAGAACGGGCTCGGTCCAGCAACTATCAGAGGTCAAGTCGCAATGGTACAGGAAAGCATTTCCAACTTGCTCGTTGTTCTCCAACTGCGTATGGTGCGCAGTGACAGAGATGGACGTGCCAGCATGGAGCTCGGTCTCGTTGATGACGATCGCGCCGCTTGCTTCGTACGCGGCCACTTCAGCGTCGTCGGTACACTGACGCGTGCACGTCACGTGGAAGCAGATCCAGACGCATTTCTGTGCAGCCTCACGCTTAGTCGCTGAAGCCACAGAAGTAGAAGAGACGTCGGCAACGACACTCTCCATGGTGGCAGGGTCTGACGCATCGACCTGCTGAGCTTTGTGGCAACTGCGACTGCATACGTTGCACTATGAGGCTGTCAGTCTATCTTCTCTCGCAATCAAGAACGTTATGGGAGTTTGGCGCGCCACCTAGGAGGTAGCGCACCGAAATAGAGACTTACGTCGGGGTCATTGCACCGGATGGGCAAACATTCCTCTTCGGTGAGCTTGTTATGCTGGCAGAACAGGTTGATGTATACGCATCGGTAGCAATTGGAGTCAGTAAAGACATCATCCCCGGGAATGGCGAGTGAGGTGTCGCGCTTAGCCGCTGGAGCCACAGAAATAGAAGAGATGTCGGCAACGGCCGCCTCAACCGTAGCGATCAAGGCGTCGTTGGGGATAGTGTCCGAGACATTAGTAGAGTCATCGAAGGGTTCAGCGCCAGCTAAACCAACGCCAGCACCCCCGATGGGTGGACAGTGTGGGTTGCACTGTCGGCAATTCTATGCATTGTTAGACCTTGCTTTCACCCAGCTTGACCCATCTCACCGATGCGGGTGTGGAGGTGGTGAGAAACTTACCAAACTGAGGCACCATAGTGTGTCGCATTTGTACCCGCTGAGCTTGTTGTCCTTGCAAACTTTGCTAATCGCGGTCAAGCAAGCCGGACAATTGAGACCAGCAGTCGAGACTCCATCGGAAGTGGCGATGGGTGAAGCGGAGGTCACTGTGACCAAGCTGATGAGGAGGAGAGCGAGCATCTTGAAGAGATTGAACACAGCCATGGCGATGGTCAGAACTGTGTTTTCTTGTGCGGGCTCAAGAGAAGGTGGGGAGGGGAGAAAGTATAGAAGAAACAAACAAAAGGGAAGCACAGCCCGGGGCGGATCAATGCAAACGGAGCGTGAGTGTGACTGGGGGAAATGAGGTGAGATCCGAGGACAGAACGTGTTTGCTGTGGTTACTCGGTGCAGTGAGCTGGCGTGCGAGCGCGCGGGTGCGGTCTCGTAATTGGCCCAAGTACCCCCGTTCTAGGGTACCACTCGAGGTGTGGAACGCGGGGGTCGAGAGGTGAAGGTCAAAGAGAACGACGAAGACAGACAGAGCGGATACAGTATACTTACGTGAGTACTAATGGATTACCCAAATAATTTGCGAGGTTCCCGTGCCTCTAGCTGTCTGTCGACATATCGCTTGGGCTGTCAAATGGTCACATTACTGTTGCGGCTAAAGGCTAAGAAGCAGTACCAATATACTACCGATGGCTACCATGACTGTTGCATTGCCTTATCGCGCTGCGACGTAGATTTGAGAGGCGAGCGAGGGTTGGTGGAAGTTGAGCCGCAGGGTTGGGCTTCATCGGCGAGTCGTCACATGCACACTGGATGATCATTAGTAGTCTGGAGCATGACACTGCTACAAACAATACTTTGTACGTGTAGAACATACCCCAACGTGCAGTCGCAGATTGCAATCACATGGTGAGCGGATCCTGACGCTCACGTTGCCGTTGCCGTTGCCGATGCTTCCACAATCGTACAAGCCGGGCCTATTCACGCGACAAGACGCGTTTTAAGCGACAAAGACTACAACATGGGCTCTACAGTCCCGTGATGATCAGACCCTGATGTGCTACTGTCGGTGTCTGATGCGGCAGGGTTTCTCTTCGCATGACCGTTCGGCTCTTCATCTGCTCTCGACGGGTCGACGTTGAATTTACGTTTAGGCTATGATCAGCCATACCTACTTGAGCAGATCCGATGCTCTGGATCCATGTGGCAAGAGGTCTGCGGGGGAGTCATACCCACTGACAAGCCACACGGTGGTACTTAGCGCGAGACAATGGTAGGACCGACTGGTCCGCGGAGCATGCTTTCGCTGGACCAATCTCGCTTCAAAGCATTCGTCTCAGTCAGTCGCATACCAACCGTTGAAAGTTTCTCCCGGATACAAGTGGGTATATCGATCGATTGTGTAAGGCTACCCGCGTGCTGGCTCAGAAATGCCATCATGGTCCATGCGGTTTCGCTAAAACCCGATCTTGCAAAGAGAATCCGATCCTACCGCACTTGTGTATGGTCCACTGCCGTGTGATCGATGAGCTGCATGCAGTCTTACGTAGACACGCAACGCGCTCGAAATCTTGCATAGCATATGCTATACCCGTATCCCTGTATTCGACAGTCTTATTTTTTTCTTCCTGCTCCGTCCCTGACATAGTCCCCCACGAATGTCTTCCCGCAGGTATCCTAAATACACCTCCTTAGACTATTTCGACTGCACGTACCCAAACTAAGTTGCTGGCGTGGAGTTTCCGTCAGTCACAATTGATATCGGAGGTCATGAGTTGACTGTATGGGAACCATTCTCATGCAAGAACGGCAATGGAGCCTGTCGGTATGTCTCTCGCTTGCCGTGTTCTGACGCGATATATGCTAACACTTACACAAAGCAAGGGCGTTCACCAAACAGGGCTCCGTCGGCTTTTTAGATGGTGATGCTGCTAGTCGAATTCGGCCGTGTGCTAGAATCGGGTTCTAGGAATGGGTGGGATTGCGACGATTATGTGTTCGTGCAGAAGCTGCCGTTTCGTCGGGTCGGTGAACCGCCTCTCGTAAGCCGTGGTACGCAGTCGGCGAATCCGGCTTTCAAACGTGCTCGTAGGAACTTTGGAAGCCTCGACGATAACAGGTGTGTCCAGATCGCGTCGGTGACGCGCGTAAAGGAAGTGCAGGACCAAAACTGTTGCCGTAAGATAAGAAGAGATATAGGCTGGACGGCGCCTGCGCTTGTGGAATGTGGCTGCAATGCCGGAAATCCAATATCATACTCGGCCTGAGCTGGCACCTTTGTTGGCGTCTCACCTTCCGCGCTCTATGTTCCGGCTCCGACCTTTCCAAGTCGATTCTGAGTATGCCGGGGCGCAGCTGCAAAAGCCCAAGGGTACAGGGTCCTCTACCAAGGGATCCGCCTATAATTCAGGCATTCGGTTCACCGTCGAGATGTGTATGTATTCCCAGCCTGCGAAGCTCACGCTAAGCAGTGCTAATGTAGTGTCGCACGCTTTCACTGCTTCCGGAACTTGTGTCAGTCGGTCTTGGGTACATGGTCCGACTGTACTCTCTCAGAACTCGGTGGTTGCCGCGACTGGCCCGGTGCATGCGGCAATTGGACATTGTAGGTAAGGCTAAGCAGTGTTGCCAGCGGGCAGGGTATATGGATGGTCTCGGCTAGGACGGATTCGCGTGATCGGGGAGTTGGTGAGCGCACGCGTGGACGGCAAGACAACACGAGCGTTGAGGATGGTAGACTCGTCAGGGTGCGAAGGTTCTAGTTTCCAACGTCGAAACGAGGTTCTGAACTATGCTAATCTGAGCAACTCTTGGCGACGCAGTTCGAGAGGTAGGTCAGCAGCCCCGATGCAGATGCAGTCTGCGCTTGCTGTGGATCGTGACCGAGCACAGCTGGAGAGCGGTACTGGTATTTCAAGAAATACCATAGCCTTCGTGCTGATGAGCCTCCTTGGGTAGCTATTCAACCTGCTCAAAACCTCGATTCGAATCAGTCTATTCGGACTAGAAGCATATCCGGCGGCCAGTTGTCAAAACATTTGACCGACGGACTGGTGGGACTGGGCTGGTCCTCGAGATCTTTGGGCAGATACGGCCCTGCGTACGAGGCACACAAGACAATGGGTGCATAGCGAAGCCTCAGCACCCGATACCCACTTACCTAAGCAGCTGGAGAGGGTTCGGGATCCGAGCGTCGCTCTTCTACGGGCTCTGACTGGCTGCGGGATAAGATCCCGCAGCCAACTTTCACTTAGCAAGGGCCACCAGCATTGAGCGGGTGAGGACCAGTATCGAAGATTGGCCACGCCCGACAGCATTCATTGAGGTGGTCATGGGCTTTGCACGAATGCCGTATCTTCAGTACACAGTCTAGTCTATGAGCAACAGCGTGACGTTGCACCCCGATCCACCCAGCATCGACCGACCGACCGGCTATCGAACGTTTTCGACGGGTGAGTTATAGGCTCAACTCCCTTTTTCAGCGCGTCAGAGAGTAAAGCATATGCTCTGGCAAATGACTAATGTTATCAAGACTACGTCGGAGAGTTGACCAGCCTGCGACTCCGTAGCATATTCAGCCCACACTTGCCTCGCCTCTACGTGCCCTGCTTGAGGGCTCTTGATTTCTGTCCAAGATTGCCAGGAGGGCCCTACAGATGTCACTGCTTCGGTAAAGGCTACGCGCAAACTCCAGAAGTCGTCCGAAGGGTCTCTGAAACGACACAATTACGTAGTTGTGGTACGCACTTCCGATATTAGCCATTTTGTCGATTCATGACGAGCGCCATCGTCGAGGGATCGAGGCGAAGGGCACATCCCCACTAGCTAACACGGCGACAGGTACACTTCGATTCGAACCTTGGATTCGGATTTCCTATACATGGGGTAACTCCGGTTGCCAGCCTACACATAAAACGTATTACTGACTTAATACAGTAAATTCCGCTCTAGGAGCGGCTGGTAAGTGGATCCATGAGGTTGCGGCGACAAAGTCCGCTGATCTGCACAAGCCTTACATGTCGAGCGCGCCGCGTCAAATGTCAGTGTCCTGTCCCCAAGCACTCCTTCCCGTACTGATAGTCCACCCAGGTGACGAGACCCGTCCAGTATGCAAAGCATGCGGCAAGAAGAACCGTCCCTGTCAGTGGGAGGAGCCTCATACTAAGTTCAAGGACTACCGGCCAGACGGGCCCTCTTCCAGTCGATCTGCCGCCGGCGGCACTGATGAAGAAACCGAGACCAAGGAGGACATGATGGATGTTGACGGTGTCGATGGGGTGGATAACATCAATCGAACAGAAGATGCTGTTCGTGCAAACAGTTTCAGCGAGGAAGGCTTGAGCCGGAACACTTCACCGAGAAGGCGGAAAAACAGTCGGACCGATGGGACATCGGAAGGCCCATCAACCAGCGTCTCCTCGCCGTCGGCTCAGCTATCGCCAGGCTCGCCTTACTTTGTTCCCCGATCTAAGAGCACAACGGGCGGCGTGTCGGTGGCGAGTCTGCTGCAGTCGCACGACCCGGACGGCATGCCAGAGGGCTCGCTGCCGATACATACCCGCCAGGCCATGCAACAGCCGAATGCGCACTCGCATAACCGTAGAGACATGCTAGATGGAACCAGAAACTACTCACCCCTGCCAGTTCCTTTGACGCACGAAGAGGCATTGCTCGTGCACCACTATACCGAACATCTTGGACGCTGGCTTGACTGCACCGACGCCACTCGTCAGTTTACGCTGGGCGTACCAGAGAAGGTCAAACAATGCCCAGTACTTTGTCACGCCGTCATGTCCTTTGCTGCTCGCCACTGCAGAAAAGACGCGACAGCCGAGGCAGCCTATCAGCGCTGCATCGCCCTGCTCATCGAACGATTGAATGAGCAAGCTGCTAGCCATGACGAAACGCTTTTGTGTGCTATTGTCATACTGCGATTCTACGAGCAGCTAAATGGTGCGTACTGGTATATGCATTGTGCCTCTCATGCCTAACAAGTGCTTCCAGTGCCGTCCAGTACTGGTTCTGACGACGAACAGCACCTCGCAGGCTGTTCGGCCATTATTCGATCTTCTCAGGGAAATCACTACGTAGATCCATCAGCGCCCACGTTGCGCGAAGCTGCTTTTTGGGTTTACGTCCGCCAGTGCCTCTACAATGCCACTATCAATCAGCAACCCCCGGACATCGATTTTTCTTTGCAGCTACACCCAACC